TCATCTACACTCTCCCCCTTAGATACTGCAAAAATAACAACAGTTCACTGTATCCATTACTACCACATGGCTCAATAAGCTGAATACCTACTTTAAGAGGGATAGGTTTTGCATTCTCTATAATTTGCTTCTAGATATCCTGGATTTTTACCTAAATTTTAAGACAAATTTCATCATTACAAAGGAATATGTTGGTGCTTCTTTGGTACATATTCCTTTCAATACAATTTTAAAAACACATTTCCAATACTCAGAAATTTATGCTTAATGCTCTTTTCCTTAGCATAAGAATTTGCCACTTGATAGGACCTGATGTGATGTTTCTATCCAGAGCTTTTTGAGTCACACTAACTCACATGTTCTCAAGGTTTTATTGTGATCAAGTTGCTTCCTGGTTTATTCATAAGAAGTATATCTCCTTACATTAAAAAATTAATATCAGAATTTCAATGTTCAGTTCATATTGCATTTGCTGAGTTCAATCTCTGCTTCACAAGTGAAGTTGAAAGTTCTGGTTCTATATGTCTTTATGACAGGGCACAAAAAAATGATAAAGGTATTGGATTTTGCTATGGAATAAACCAAGCTACGTATTAACAGCTAATGGCTAACAGCTTAAGCAAACCTATCTGGAAGACTGATGTGTCATTATCTGCATATGTATCAGAAAGCACCCCACCAGGTGGCAAAACAGATGAAGACCCAACAGAACAACTCACTGTGAGTCAGCTTACCACCACACACATTATGACTGTTTTTTTTTGTATAAACTTTTAACTAATAGTAGTGGGCTGTACTTGATTCAGTTGTATAAATTGAACTAGGAACTAGCAAGATAGCAAGATGTGGGGTGTGTGAATCCCACCACGAAGTCTAAATTTGTGTTCTCCATGGTGAAACCAGGCATGTCTCCCTCTCCAGAGAGGAAAGAGTGCCAATAAATTGCCTTTACTGTAGAGGATTGAAACTGAACATGCACGATCAAGATGCAGTGCAAATTCTATGTGTGTCATCTCAGATGATATTTGGAAATATTTTGTAAACTTACAACTATGAGTATCTGGATGCCCTTTAAATTTAATCTCCAAATATTTCTATATCACTTACTTGTAGTTGCGTCTGGTAGTAGTACACAGCTTAGGCCTCCATCCTTTTAACCCCCAGAATGCTCAGTTAACCGAACACTGGCATTACTCCATTACTCCAGAATGTCCCTGGAGGGCTTAGCTTTCATCCTTAAGGGTCTATCAAAGTATTCCTGACTTACATAGCGCTATTCCTGAGAAAGTTTAGGTCAGTACTTTTCTTAAAGAAATGTTCTGGGTGCTTTTTCCAGATGCCCCATTGGCTTAATATTTAATCTGGTTTTGAAAACATCTAAACTCAAGAGAGTTTTTCTTCCTGCCTCTGAGTGGTCACATGTTAATTATGTTAACAGGAAAAGTGTTTAACCATGTTATAGAAGGTTACAAACTTCTATAATTAATATTTCATGGGACTGTGGAGTGAATAGAGGAATGTTGAGACCCACAGAATCGGGCAATCAGAGATGGAAAATGGAAATAGAGTACACTTTCTTTTCTCTCTCTCTCTCTTTTTTTTTTTTGACATGAGTATATGTCTTTATAACCTAATCACAATCATGTTAATGACATGATCATACATATTGGCAAATGGGATTCTTGGGCTGCATTTTCCTTGCTAAGAAATAAAACCTCAGTCATGGAGGGTGAGGGCTGAGATGCCTTAGCTTGGAGTTAGACCTTGAGCATGAGAATGTAAAACTAGAGTCAGTCTCTTTGGCTATTTTGTGTCATAGATCTGATTGGTTCAAGTATACAACTTAGAAGTATTAAGTATAAGTATTGAATATCAATTATTAATTATCAAGTATACAAAAGAATTATTATGTTCTTTCATGTTCCAAACACTATGGCCAGTAACTTATTTATATGCTCATATTGCTTATCTCTATTTTATAGATATAGAAAGTTAGGCTCAAAACTTTTAATAAATGTACTTAATATTCTCCAGCTGGTAAGAAGATGCACTGGGATTCACACTCAAGAAAACGAATGTCATCTTCATTAGTAAATTGGATTAATTAAGCTACCTTGTAGTTATTGCAAGTATTCACTATTAATATAGGGAGGACTAAGCATTGAGATCTATGTATTTTATCTATTATTAAACTTTGCTTCTCCTAAATGTCTTTTCTACAGACTGAGTTGTCCATTTCATTTCTTTTCCCAACTGTGAATTAAAACTTACTCAATAGTCTCTCTGTTCTGTTTTATTCTTGTGTTAAGTTATTCTGTGTATAATCTACAGTGCACTGTACCTTTACCTATTAGGATTTAAAAATCAAAGCAAGGTAATGTATTTCTTAATGCATTCTTTTTCTTTCAAATTTTGTACCATGAATATGCATTAACTCTTCAAAAAGTAGAGATATTTATCAAACTCACTTAAGAAAAGCCTGTTGGAACATACTTGCCTACTATACCTTATCAATAATTTTTCTGTCACATTTATTACCAAAATGCCATCCTTGAATTGTAATACAAGCATACCTTGGAGATATTGAGGGTCCAGTTTGAGAATACTGCAAAGAAACAGATAGTGCAATGAAGCAAGTCTCACACATTTTTTGGTTTCTAGTACATATAAAATTTGTTTATGCTATAGGTTGTGTATAGTATGTACATTATGCAGTATGTCTAAAAAACCCAATATTAAAACTACTATATTGCTTTAAAATACTGATTTTAAAAAAAATACTAATAATCCCCCAGGCCTTCAGTCTTTTCTTAAACTTTTTGCTATGGAAGGTCTTGACTACATGTTGGTGGTTGCTCACTAAAGAGGACAGTGGTTACTGAAGGTTGGGGTAGTTGTTACAATTTCTGAAAATAAAGCAAAAATGAAGATTGGTACATCAGTGGACTCTTCATGAAAGAGTTTCCCTTTCATGAAAGACCTGTCACCTGCATGCTGCTGATAGTATTTTGTCCACAGTGGAACTTCCTTCAAAATCAGACTCCTCTCAAGCCCTACTTTATCAATTAAGTTTCTATAATATTCTAAATCCTTCATTGTCTTTTCAACAATACTCACAACATCTTCACCAGGAATGGATTCTATTTCAAGAAAATACTCTTTGCTTATCCCTAAGAAGCCAATGCTTTATTCACTTAAGTTTTATCATAGAATTTTAGCAATTCAATAACATCTTCAGACCCCATTTCTAATTCCAGTTCTCATGTTCTTTCTACCACATCTGCAGTTACTTCTTCCACTGAAATCTTGAGCCCTTCAAAGTCATCCTTGCAGATTGGAATCATCTTCTTCCAAACTCCTGTTAATGTTCATATTTTGACCTCCCATGAATCACAAATTCTCTTAGTGGCATCTAGAGTGGTAAATACTTTCTAGAAGGTTTGCAATTTTCTTTGCACATATCCACCAGAGGAAGCACTATCTGACAGCTGAAGCCTTATGAAATGTATTTTTTAAATAGTAAGGCTTGAAAGTTGCAGAATAGCTTTTGTGTTAGTGGGCATACAGTAGCATTCATCTCATTGTATATCTCTGTGAGGGCTCTTGGGTGACTGGGTACATTATCAATGAGCAGTTATATTTTAAAAGGAATCTCTTTTTTTTTTTTTTCCTGAGAAATAGATCTCAAGAGCACATTTAAAATGTTCAGTAAACCATGTTGTAAAGAGAAGAGCTACTTCTGGGCTTTGTTGTCCCATTTATAAATCATGAGAAGAGAAGATTTAGTATAATTCTTAAGGGCCTTAGGATTTTGGGTATGACAAATGAGAACTGGTTTCAACTTAGTGGTTTGATGCAGCACGTAACTAACAAGAGAGCCCATCTTTTGAAGCTTTGAAGCCAGTTATTGACTTCTCTAGCTATGAAAATCCTGCATAATCTTCTGAGATAAAGCCGTTCATCTATATTAAAAGCCTGCTGCCTGGTTCAATCACCTTTATCGGTGATCTTAGCTGAATCTTCTGGGTAATTTGCTGTGGTTTCTACATTACCATCTTCTGCTCCACCTTGCTCTTCTGTGTTATGGAGATGGCTTCTTAAACCTTAGGAACCAACCTCTACTGGCTCCAGACTGTGCTTCAGCAGCTTCCTCAGTTCTCTCAAACTTCATAGAGTTGAAAAGGCTTTGGCTTAAGGGAGTGTTGCGACTGCTTTGATTTTTCTATTCACACCATTAAAACTTTCCATATCATCACAACGCTATTTTACTTTCTTATCATTCATGTGTCCCCTGAAGTAGAACTTTCATTTTTCTTCCTTCCTTAATTTCTCTTTGTGCTCACAACTTGGCTGTTTGGTGAAAGAGTTCTAGATTTCAGCTTTTCATGTTTCAACAGTTTCCTTCACTCCATGATGTCTATCTAGATTGATAAAAAGTGAGAGGTGTATGGATCTTCCTTTCACTTGAATACTTAAGACACCCTTGTACGGTTATCAGTTGGTCTAATTTCAGTATTTTTGTACTTCAAGGAAGAGGGAGGACTGAGGGGAGAGGGGGAGATTGAGGAATAGCTGGTTGGTACTGTCAGAACACATACAACATTTATGAATTAAGTTCACCGTTTTATATGGGTGTGGTTCATAGTACCCCAAAACAATAATGACACAAAGGTAACAGATCAGATTGCCATAACAAATATAATAACGCAAAGTTTTAAATAGGGAATTACAAAAACACGACATAAATTGATCACATTATTTGAAAAATGGTTCCCGTAGATTTGTTTGACACAGGATTGTCACAAATCTTCAATTAAACACACACACATATAAACACTCACAAACAATATCGGCAAAACTCAATAAAGAGAAGCACAGTAAAGTAAGATATGCCTGTTTAGGGATTTTAGGATTGGTAAATTCCTTAGAGGTTAGGCTTATGTTTTTAAACATATTTGGTACTTAAAGAGCAGTATTTTCATGCAGAAAGTATTTGTGTAGTAGAATCTTGCTAACTTACGAATATCTCTGGAAATGCCAACAGCCACCTGAAAAATCCTCAATGGTTGACACAACAGACCTGTGAAGAAGAATAGCTATTTGTTAAGAGTGGAAAACTTCTTTAAGACATAGTTGATTTAATATTTAGACTAAACTTTGACAGATGTGTATCAAAAGCTAACACCATCACTTCAAGAACTCTTTAGTTGAGAAAACTACCAGTACCTATTTCAAATACCAGTTTTTTCCTCAGTTCTTGGCTCTTAAAATCTCCAGCCATCCCTGTAATCCTGATCTATGTGTGCTTTCAAGTCTTTCCTCTTGGCTAGCCAACAGTGTGGATTCAGGCCTGGTGAGAGTTAGGATGGAAAGAGTACAAGGGAGAATGGAAGGATAATCTGATATGGAATCAGACTTTAAATTACTCTTCTATTTATATCACCCTTTCTCCCAGATTCCCCAGATAGCTGCCCTATTAAGTCTATATCACCCTGACAGACAGATATCATTCATTTCACTATCAGCACAACCCAGGGATTTTATGTGGCTATTTCTGCTTTATAGGTGAGAAACTTAAGGCTCAAGAATTACTTGCTCTAAACCTCAGCTCAGACAACCCCTCTTCTGTGAAGTCCCTACTGGTTCATTTCTCTATATGTGCTGGCCCATAATTAGTAAATTCATTCAACAAATGACTTAATTTTTTACTTTCATGAAGCTGGGCCCTTATTCTTTACAAGTAAAACGTAGAACTCAAAAAAGGGGTGAAACCCAACTTCAACCATTCTCCACCATCTTGATCTCTTATAAGGAGACACTAGTAAGTAATAACAAGGCTTGGGTAGTTTGGGGCCATTGGGGTATCAGCAGGTTTCTCAGGACTAGGCATAGATGGTGCCCAAAGACAGATTTGCCTGCTCCATCACAGTTCTGGTTCATTTTCTTCCAAAAGCCATGTGGGAAATTGTTCTGATGATTTCAGGTCAGATAGTTGGTCAGAGAGTAGACAGTTATTGACTGCATCTCAGATTCAGTCTCTTATCTTGGGTTGCAAAACTAGCCCAACTTAGTCCCTGCCTTCTAAGAAACCCAGTTTATGTATTAAAAGATAAAATGTTTGTACTAAAGTAGTTGTAACACAAGTCCATGAGACGCACAGAGAAGAGTGGTGGGATTTGCTGAAGGTGTCTGCCTTGAGCCTGGAGAGAGATAGTAGGACTTGAACAGTAGAGATGGGGAATGTGGAAGGGACAAAACAGACCCCAAAGGGATGTGTGATCTGGAAACACCATAGGTATGGGGGAATGGAGGCTGTCGGCAAGGTCAACCTGAAGCATGTGGCCGGGTTTCCCCCCAAAGGAACAAAGGAACCCTAGCTCACAGAGACTCATTCTTCATCTATACAGCACAAGGAGTAAAAACCACTAGGGTGGGGAAATAGAGGAGCAAGTGGTTATTTCCCCCACAGATTCTTCTGAAAGTGACTTGGCAACTGTGATTTTTATAGGAAAAATATGTCAGTTTTAGTGATGAGCAGAGGATGACCAGATTCAAATAAAATCTTTGATTCATTACATGAGATTTCTTTTCCTCCCAGGTGAACAATTAGCCCTTTTGATGTTGGAGCAGTTGTAGAAAACTGAATTTAGAGTCCTTTGTTTGTTGTTTGCTTTTCGGTTTATAAAAAGCTTGCCCTAAGGTAAGAAACATCTGTTCAGAGAGTCTGGAGAAAACAGACTTTTATTTCTTCATATGCTCAATGAGCTGCTGATTTTTGCTGCAAAATATCAAACTGGGATATAAAGAGGATGAAGTGAAAAAGAAAAGGTCAGAAAACTTGTGCTTTGGGCATTCCCGGTGAATGCATATTAAAGCTATACATGGGTCATGCTGTGTAAAACATACAATAGAGAGTTATATTCATCAGAAGAATATTAGATTCTAAATTTGAGGGAACACGAATTCTAATTTTATGAAAGAAACTCATTGTCTACTTTCTCCTTTTAAATGGCAGAATATTATTTATTGAGGATAAATAGTTATTTCTCTGCTCTATTTAATCCTCATGCAGCAGATGAATTCAAGGTAGGTTTAAAGAAGAGAACATCAAGCATGCTGTGAAATGAACCTGGGAGAAAATACACTGGAGTAAACTTGGAGAGATCTGTTTTACCCCCTGATCTTTAGAAATGGACTTTTCTTTTCAACATTTTGGATTCTGACTGAGGGAATGAGATGGTGCTATAATCCAGTAACCTCACAAAACACAAGTTCCCAAAGTGTTAGGGACCACCCCTGTCTTCTGGGATCCTACAGATGACATTGTGAACACCCCCTACTGTGTTCATGCATTGTGCTGCAGGCTGTGGACAGGAGAGAGGTGAGTGACTCCTCAGTGAACCTGCACACAGCTTTCTGTGCATAGGAGCACATCCAAAGCTGGAAACATCAGATGACTGTAAGGTTAGGATGAAGACACTCTAAGTTAGAAGATATTCTAAGTGGGAAGTCAAAGATTTTGGACAAACAGATTAAATTCACACACACACACACACGTATGTTAAGGTGTGTTCTGATATGCAGAATTATCAAATTTATAAAAAGTTGTATAAATGAATATAGGTAAGCATTTTCAGAGACCCCGAGAGCTGCTATCCTGTCAGCAGGTCCTATGCAAGCCACGTGAAAAATGAATGCAATTTTGGTTGCTCCTTCTTGTCTACACATCCAATATTTCCTGATTTGTTTGCAAATATGGGTTTTACAATCTGGTGTATATTCTCCAACAAAAAGCTTATGGGCATGTTTTCTCTGGATTTATTCCTTATTATTTTATGGCATGTCTAATATCAACATATCCGTGGGGAATATGGTAACACGGGAGCAATACAGATGTCTTTCCATTTGTTGATATCACCAAAAAGTGGAAGATACATTGACCAGGGAGAAGAAGCTTTGTGACCTTACAATGGGAGTACTTAAGACTTTAGCTGGGTGCTTGTTTAAAAAGTAAATCATCTAGGCCCCACCAATAGAAATTCCCATTTGTATTCTAAATTAGTACTATGTACAGCAAGACATTCTTTCAACTCTAAGTAACAAAACATCTAACAATCATTTAGTTATCTCACACAATTCTCCTAGGAATGTGGCTTGTATCCAGAGAGTCACAGTTTCTTTATCTTCCTGTCTTATCTTCTGGGCATGTTAGCCTATCAGGTAGAGATGACTTGGTGGCTACTGGTGACTGGTGCTCCCTGAAGCACATCTTCCCACTGCCTTGCCCAAGGAGTGGCACAGACAGTTCTCCTTGTGTGACTTCCTCTTTCTTTGAAAAAACAAAAAAACTTTTCCCAGAATTTCCCTATTCCTGGAAGTGTTTTGTTATACATTTTTGGGCAAAGCTGACACTGGTTGCCTCTTGCTCCAAGGAGATGGGAATGATTATATTGAGTCAGAGCTTTCCAGAGAAACAGAACCAGTAGGATGGATTTACATAGAGATGGTCCAACTTATGATGGTTCAATTTATGATTTTTTGACTATATAATCATATCAAAATGACATGCATTCAGTGAAAAACATTTTTCAAATTTTGAATTTAGACCTTTTCCTGGCTACTGATGTGCTGTACAATACTCTCTTCTGATGGTGGGCATCAGCAGCCACAGCTCCCAGGTAGCCATGTGATCATGATGGTAAACCCCAAACATGCCACAGTGTAACAGAGCATTCCCATCATGCAACCGTAAATTTTATTTTAATTTTTTATTTGTTATTTTTATTTATACATGGCAATAGAATGTATTTTGACATATTATACATACATGGAGTATAACTTCCCATTCTTGCAGTTATACACGATGTGGAGTTTCACTGGTCACATATTCTTATATGAATATTAGGAAAGTAATATCTAATTCATTCTACTGTCTTTCCTATTTCCATTCCTTCTCCCTTCCCTTCATTCCTTTGTCTAATCCAAAGTACTTTTTTTCTTCTATACCCACCCTGCTTATTGTGTGTTACCATCCACATGTCAGAACATTCAGCCTTTGCTTTTTGGGGATTGGCTTATTTCACTTAGCATGATAATCTCCAGTTCCATCCATTTATGGGCAAATGCTATAATTTCATTGTCATGGATGAATAGTATTCCATATTGTATACATACCACATTTTCTTTATCCATTTATCTGTTGAACGGGGTACCTAGGTTGGTTCCATAGCTTAGCTATTGTGAATTGAGCTGCTATAAAAATTGATGGGGCCGTGTCAGTATAGTATGCTGATTTTAAGTCCTTTGGGTATATGCTGACGAGTGGGATAGCTGGGTTGAATGGTGGTTCCATTCCATACTGCTTTCCAGAATGGTTGCACCAATTTGCAATCCCACCAGCAATGTATGAGTGTACCTTGTTCTCCACATCCTTGCCAAAGTATATTGTTACTTGTATTCTTGATAATTGCCATTCTAACTGGAGTGAGATAGAATATCAGTGTAGTTTTAATTTTCATTTCTCTAACTGCTAGAGATGTTGATCTTTTTTTCAGTTTATTGACCAATCATATTTCCTCTTCTGTGAAGTGTCTGTTCAAGTCTTTAGCCCATTAATTGATTGGGCTATTTTTTATGTTTTTTTTTTTTTTTTGAGTTCTTATATATCTTGGAGATTAAAGCTTCATCTGAGATGCAGGTAGCAAAGATTTTTCTCCCATTCTATAGGCTCTCTCTTCAGTTTCTCTACTGTTTCCTTTGCTGTGAAGAAGCTTTTTGGTTTGCTGTCATCCCATTTATTGATTCTTGATTTTACTTCTTGTGCTTTAGGAATCTTGTTGAGGAAGTTGGTGCCTATGATAGCTCACGCCAGCAAGTAGTAGGTGTACAATAAGTTTTGGATCTCAGTCTACCCACTTCTTATGCCAGATGGCTTTAGAAGCAGATTCTGCTTCCTTCTACAGAGATTGCTTTTTCAAAACAGTACACTTGTTTGTCTTGGCTGCTGTACTAGTTTTCTATTGCTGCAGTAACAAAGTACCACCAATTTAGCAACTTTTAACAGTACTGTTCATTATCCCA